GTGGCCTGCCACTGGAAAGTGAGGGAGTGGGACTGAAGGACCTCTGAGGACCCTTGCTGCGCTGAAATCCCCTGTTCTAAGCCCCCTCTGTGAAGTCAAGGATTGTGAAATGCTTATACAAGTGAAATGTCAGAGTACAAAGTGTACAAACAGACTTTGCCAGTGAAAATGTCATTCAAGTTTATCTGCTAACAAATAGTTTATTCCCTTTGGTCTCCTCTTAGCTTTTGTTTTGTGGTTCATGTTATGTCTGGCAACTTGCTCTTTTTGTTATTTAAAAAAAAAGAAATGGTGGTGGTTAAATTAGAAACAGAAATGTTCTCTCACCCTACTGGAAAACTCTAAAAATGGCCATTTTAACTTATCTGTCAAGGATTTCAAAAAGGTACTGAACACATGGCTCAACCTGGTAGGTATTTAATTGAAATGAATTGAGATCTGAATTAATTAGCTGTGTAGGAAAAATAGGCAGGGATGAGGCATAAAAGCATGAGTTTGAATTCTGCCTTCACTGCTGCTACTGGCTGAGTGACCATGGACACGTTTTCTGATCTCTGACTCCCTGATCTGTAGCTCTAGGGGGAGAATGGTATGTTCCCTGTAGGACTGTTGTGAGAAATTGATCATGTATGTATAGTACATAGTACAGTGCCAGACAATTAATACTCAATGGATTGTAGTTGTAACTGTTATACATTACTTTATTACATTAACTTAAATAACTAGGGAATTATTAACTATTACATACAGTGTTCCACCTTCCCAGTCATCCTGGTAAGATGGATGTCAGTAACTAAAAGAAACAGTCCCGTTAGTATGGATTTCGGTCTTTGCTTTTGGTAGACCACGTGGACTGAGATTTGCCACAGACTGATTTCTCCTCTTGTCCGATTTAGAGATCAGCGGTGTGGTAAGAGAACAGACAGCAAGAGTGTATGTACTCTTACAAGCTGTCGTCGCAGGCTCTTGCCTCCAGAAACAGTGCCACTTGAGAATGTCCAGTGCGTGGTAGTTGGTGTCATTAATGAAAACATCTGCCCATTGTTTGTCCGTTGTGCAAGAGAGGGGCATCCCGGAGAAGATTCCCACTGAGAGCTCCCATATCCTCTGTGGGAGTGACAACCTGGAGGAGGGTCAGAAGCCAGAAAACAGAGTTGACCCGGCAGAGTTTTTGCCACAGCCTCACATTCCCTAGCTGATCTCCTGCAAGGCTTTCCCCTGGGCTCCTAGCCTATTTCTAGGGGCTCCTCACTGATCCTCTCTCCCCAGCTTTTCTTTTTAATAAATTCAGTTGATATTCAGCTGATCAGTTGGAGGTTCACTTTCCTGGAAAGGATCTTAATTCTCCTTTTAAAGATCTTAAAGTCAGATTTTCTTTAGAAATTCATTTAATTTTAATGAGGCAGAGGCCCAGGTCAGTTCTCCTGAAAAGATCCCAGATTTGGATTTTTTCCTAATACTGAATTGTAAGAGTACCTTATACATTCCGGCTGTCTCTCTTATCAGATATATGTATATATAGAATATCTTCTCTTAGTCTGTGGCTTGCCTTATCAATTTAATGATGTCTTTCAAAGAGAAATTTTAAATTTTGATAAAGACCAGTTTAACCATTTTTTGTTTTATGGTTAGTGGTTTTTGGACCCATCTAAGAAATCATTGTCTATCCCTAAGGTAGCACAGGTTTTTCTCCAATATTTTCTTCTAAAAGTTTTATAGTTTTGTCTTCTATGTTTAGATCTGTGATCCATTTCATGCTAACTTTTGTGTATGAGGTGAGGTGTAGGAGTCCAGGGGTTTTTTCCTCCTGTATAGATATCTAGTTGTTCTAGCACAAATAGCTGAAAACCTTTCTTTTCCTCATGAATTACCTTGGAAACTTCGTAAAAAAAAAAAATTGGCCACATATGTTAGGATCTATTTCTACACTCTGTTCAATTTCATTGATCTATGTTTGTCTGTCTCTATGCCAGTACCACTATCAACTATCTTGATTACTGTAGCTTTATATTAAGTCTTGAAATCAAGTACTGTAAGTCTTCAAACTTTGTTCTTTTTTAGAATTCTTTGACCATTCTGTTTCCTTAGAATCAGTTTATCAAATCCTTATCCAAAAAAAGCCTTCTAGAGTTTTGATTTAGATTGCAAATGAATCTATAAATGAATTTGGCAAGAACTGACATCTTAATGATACTGAATCTTCTAATCCACGAACATGGTATAATTCTCCATTTTTTTGAGATCCCCTTTAGTTTTTCACAGCAGTTTTGTAATATCAGTGTTCAAGCCTTATACATATGTTGTTGACATTTTTGCTGAGTTTTTTATATTGATACAGTTGTAACTTTTATATTTTTTATTCCATTATCCAGTTGTTCATTGCAAGTATATAGAAATACAGTTGATTTCTGAATATTGACTGTGTGTCTTGTAACCTTGCTAAATTCACTTACTAGTTTTTGATTCTAGGAGTCGCTAAGATTTTCTAGATACACTGTCGTATCATCTGCAGATTAAGACCCTTTTATTTATTCCTTTCTGTTTCCTAAGCCTTTTATTTCCTTTGGCTGACTTGTTGCACTGGCTAGGACCTGTAGTACAACGTTGAATAGAAGTGGTAAGAGTGGGCATCTTTGCCTTGTTCCTGATCTTAGGGAGAAAAGTGTCTTTTACCACTTACTCTGATGTTACCTGTTGGTTTTTCATAGATGCCCTTTGTCAGATTGAGGAAGTTTCCTTCTGTCCCTAATTTGCTGAGATTTTTCATAACTGAATTTGATGAATCCTTTTTTTGCATCTTTTGAAATGATTATATGATTTTTAACCTTTATTATACTGAAATGACAAATTATGTTGATTTCCAGATGCTGACAAAGCTTGCATCCTTGAGATAAATTTCATTTGGTAATGACATATTATCTTTCTTGTATATTACTGGATTTGGTTTGCTCATATTTTGGATCTGTTGCTGGTAGTGGACCAACCAGGTGGGCAAATCCACATTAGGTATTTGGAATGAGTTTGAGCCCATTCTACAGATGTCTAATGTCTTAGTAAAGCGTGCGCTTACGCCTATAAATAATCTCACCTCCCTTTTCCCCTGCCCTTTGAAATGTGCTGCCACCAGAGTCAGTATATGAATATACGAGGCAAAGCTTGAAGTATGAGATTAAGGGTAAACAGTAAGTTCCTTGAAGGCAGGGACTTTATCACATCCATTCTGTCAGTGTAAGATCAAATCCAGCTGGTGTTACAGAGCCCCTCAATTACACTGGCTTACACAGGATGGACGCTTCCTCTTCTCTCCCAGGCCTGGTATGACTCTCCCCTGGAAAAGTCCTCATGGCCCCAGACTTGTTCACTGCTCTGCCAACCCAAAGATTGTGACCTTAGTAATTAATCCTCATGGTCTGAGGGGGCTGCACCTGCATTTCAGCCTCAGCGGAGGGAGGGAAGGGGCGGGGGGAGGAGGGGGACATGCCAGCTAACTTGTAAGGAAGCAGCCCAGAAGCTGCCGTGAGAGACTTGTGCGTGTACTTAGTCACGCGGTCACAGCAAGGCCAGGATTTTGAGGCAAGAGTTGTGAGGAATAAACAGTCATTCTCTGTCTGTTGGAAACTCTAATAGTTCTTCATTTAAATGATTTTTCTGGAAGTTCCTGAAACAAAGTTATTTGCAACATACCTCCTGGGCCTCAGTTTCCTGGAAGAGTAAAGTCACATTAACAGGAAGTCCTGTCAGTGTACACAGTAAGCCGTGTGGGGGCGGAGTTTGGGTTCTCTGTGTCTGTATCCCTGGGGCCTGGCGTGATGCGTGGCACACGATATTTTTCAGCAAATTGTTGACTGTATTGTATGTTTGCTTTCTTGTTAGACTCTTTGTGCCAAAATAGAAATAGGAAAGGGGACGGTGTTCCCGATGGTCAAAATGGTGAGATTCAGAATTGCGTTGGATACTGACATTGCCTAAAGTCCTGTCAGATACGCTAGAATAAGTCTGTACCTGGGGCTCACGTGTTCAAAATGTGAGGAATAGACGTTACGCATTTTATTACAGGTGTTAAAGTCTGCACCAAATTGAGACTTTCCCTGCAGCATTCAGAAAGAATGGGAAGAGACTTAAAAGGCGGTAACTTTTGTGTCATGTGATTTCATATTCTTTAACACCCTACCATGTCCCAACTAAAATTCATGTGCCAGTAATGGTACACTCTCTCAGTTAAGAAATACGGGAAAAGGAAGATGTTGCCTCAGGTTTATTTAACTGCAGGGAGGATTTATGAAGCGGTCCTCACAGTTTGCCTTGAATGGTACAGAACTGACTTGATTGACATCTGTGGTCCTGGCAGGGAGCGCCGCCCCCTCCATGCAGCTTCCGAGGAGTGACTGCAGCCACGGGGAGGAGGGAGGGATGAAGCGGCGCCCATCTGAGTCCCGAGCTGGCGTATGTTAGCATGGTTACCCCACGGCATCCTCACAACAACCCTGCAAGCCTGGAGTCAGTCCCTGAGTCTTGCAGATGAAAATCCTGAGACAGAAAGTGTAAGTCTGAGCAACTCAGTGGCTGAGCCTGTCTGATTTCTGAGCACAGGATTCATTCCTGTAGAGGGAGAGCTAGGAATCCCAGGGTCTCAACAGGCAGTAAGTGTCTCATGCTCCCAACACACAGGGCTGACATCCTTTTAGTCTCCCTCGCGGCTGGTTCTGGGGCAGCACTTGGTGAAGCTGTGTTGGAGGAGGTTTTCATCCCCGGTGCTTCCGGGAAAGCTCGTGGCCCCCACGTGGCCTGTGCTCATCCCCCATCCTGGCGAGAGGACCTGTTTCAACTGGATTGCCTGTGTCTCGCTTCCTTCCCTTCTGCAGATGGATCTGTCTGTAGAAACTCTCTTTAGCTTCATGCAAGAGCGCCAGAAAAGATACGCCAAGTACGCGGAGCAGATCCAGAAGGTCAACGAGATGTCAGCCATCCTGCGCCGCATCCAGATGGGCATCGACCAGACGGTGCCGCTGCTGGAGCGGCTCAACAGCTTGCTGCCCGAGGCGGAGCGCCTGGAGCCCTTCAGCATGAAGCCCGACCGCGAGCTCCGGCTGTAGCGCGCGTGCGCTCGGGCCGGCGCCGCCAGGGCCCCGGGATGCTGGGACCAAAGTCCCAGGAGGTGACCGAGGCCGTTGGATCGCTGGTGCTCCCCGAGGGGGCGGGACGCAGCCCTGCTGCCCTGGACACCGCTTTCTTCCCCTCTGCAGAGCCAACCAGCCAAACCCACGCTCAGTGCTCACCGGAGTTGGAAGGTTTGAACTATTGGGAATTCTGTACAGAACTCTGCCTTGGGAAGTATTTTTATTTTGTTTAGGTTTTTTTTTTAATTGACACTGTATATTATCTAGTCTAGCTTGTGGATTGAAAAGAAGAGAAAGGGAGAGATATTTTAAGAAGCTCTGTGTCCTTGATGCCGTCGTGGTGTTTTTCTCAGTAGGCTGTCTGGGTTGTGGGCTAGAAACATAAAGAACAAGTGTAACCCAGGTCCGTGTGTTGTGTCTCCATCGCATCAGGTCCTCTCTGGGGCACCCCCTGCCCTGGCGAGACACTGGCATTGTTCTCATGTCAGCTTAGGGTGTCCCTCCTGTGTCGTCATCGGAAACTGAAGGCTCCCTTTCCACACCCTCGTGGGGTTCGTCTCCCACTGATAACTGGTTTCCTTGATGCAGACAGAGGTTCGGTTTCCTCTTGCTCCATCAGCACTGGCAGGACTCCAGTTTTTGCGGGCAGGTCTCAGCATTTGCTTTACTAGCTTCACAAACTCTTGGTGCAGTCAGGCGCCCTCAGCAGAGCAGAGCACGGGCACCCGCAGGTGTTCACGGAGCCCCCGTGACGTGCCAGCCGTGGTGCCGGGGTACTGAAGGGCTGTGTGTGGTCCCTGCCCTTCTTTTCTGAAGAGGAAAAACTGAAAGTGCTGCTGAATTTCTATGGGGGTTTAGGAAACAAAGCACTTTGAGTGACCACAGAAGTCGCAGTGCAGTGCTGTGTGCATCCTAAAGGTTCTGATGGAAGAAAAGACTGCAAGGAAATGGGTGGCCGGCAAACCGAGACCAGGAGCTGGGGAGAAAGGGAGGTCACTGGGGCCAGGACATCATGCTGGTCTCCACGGGGGGCCCCCCCGTTTATTCTCCAAACCTGCGAGGTATCCCACTTAATTTAGCATCTCTCAGGTCAACTTTATCTGATTCTAATCACAGGTTTTAATCAGACAATGTCTTGTAAAGTTCTCAGAACTCAGAATGAAACGTAGGACATAAAACCAGCTGGATGACGGCAGAAATGTGAAATTCTAAGCTTAATGGAAAAATAATTTTTTAATATTCAGACATAGGCAAAATGATCAACAGCTTCTGTGATTTTCTAAGGCCCCTTAAAAGTCTGATGTGGCCCACTGGTGAAAGAAGCTCGTCTTTATAATACCTTTGACGGTAGGATTCTAGAGCAATTCATTAGGGAGTACAAATCAAGGAAGATGTTCTGTCACTTTAGAAACCTGTTAAATAGCTAAGGTTATGCTAGGAAATGTCACGGAGGGGAAGGCAGCAGCATTTACTGAATAATGCATCTTCCCCCCTCCTCTGTGCAGTCCTCTTTCATGTATTAAATTTCCACATAATTGCAGATCTGGTTCTGGACTGTGTTCTAATCTTTCTCTCCATACTGTTTCATGCTGTTTTTTGTTCATTTTTAAACACTGTTTAATATTATAATTTCATACTACATTTTAATATCTGATATGGCTGGACTAGGTCCCCGCCTTCTCCAATTACTATTTCTTCCTAATTTCATGTTTTTCACTTCAAACTGGCAGAAGAGTTGAAAAAGAAATTACAAGGCATTCTCATATTCTCTTCACCTCGACTGACAGAAGGAGGCATTTTTAAGCCCTCACTGTGATTGTCTTTTTTTGAATTCCTGGAGCAGACAGAACCCAGCTTTGAACACAGACTTGCTTGTATTGTAGCTTTCAAAGAAGGAAGGGCTGGTTGTCTCCAGAGCTATAAAAACAGCTCTGGGACCAGGTTCCATTACCCTCAGTGCACTTAATAGGATTTACAAATAAAAGCACGTAACAAAGTGACACACAGACTAAGCCGACGAGGACAGAGCTTTCTCACTGTGTTGTCGCAGCGGATGGTCTTGACGTGGCAGAAAGGTGACCAAGCATTGTCCGCAGAAGTTCTCCGCCAGCCAGCTCTCCCTCCAGTTCTTTTCCTTCTTATAAAGAAGTTAGACAAAATGTGGTGTTCGATGTGGGTCCTAAGTGGAGAGGCTACTTGCTATTGGGTAGAAGCAGAGACGTGAACAATAGGCAAATTTTGATAGGTTTTGAAATAATTCTAGTTAATGTATTTATGGTGTATGGTGGTTTTACAGTGTTGTCAGCTTTGGCTAGGCTGAAGTACATTTCCCAGAATTCCTTTCCCTGTTCCTTTTTGGTGAGAGTTGGCCACAGAGAATTTTGCATGAGATTTTAGTGGAAGTAAGGCAATATCCATGCATACTTGATGGAGGCCACCGTAGGTCAGGCCCTGTTGCATCTCGTGTGCTTTCATGGATCTGTTGGGCCTTTGGTTTGTGGGCAGCAGCCAAGCCAGCAGCTCCTCCAGCTCCACAGAACTGTGCCTTCAGCGTTTCCACATCCCAGGCCGGGTGTGAGCACTGGCTTCTCCTCCAGGTCATCTGCAGCAGAGAGGATGAGGGCTTAAAGGGCGGAGGCACCGTGCGTTCTGGTGGGACGCAGATGCCGGTTCCAGCTTGTTGCTTCAGGTGTCCTGGCTCTCCCCCACCGCCCACCCGTCCCCCATCCCCCACTGCCCCCCCAGCCGCTTTCCCAACCACCTGCCCAGCAGTGAAGAAGAAACAGTGAGCCAGGACTCTGACCAGCTCCCGTAATTAACTGCTTAAGGTAAGTCTCATTTGACAACTTCCTTCTTCCACACCATTCCTTCCTGGTGGTTCTCCTCTGATTGGACCCTGATTGGTAACGTTTCACTTTTCCCTCCTCGATATTTTACTTTCTCTGATTGATTCTGGGAATCTGAGTGATTTGCTGTTTCAAGAGGCGGTAATGCTGGGCGCTCTAGGTGTCCCAGGGCTGAGGCGGCAGCCGGGAGCCGTTGAAGAGCCCTGACTGGAGGTTTCCACCCGCCGAGAGCACGAGCTGGTCTGGATGGGCTCTCGCACCCCCTCCCCCAGCTCTCAGCTCCCAGGCCTGCAGTTCTGATACGTCACCCTTAGCAACGGCGAGGGGCATCTTTCCCTGTTGTGTCCGAGCAGTGACCGTAGGTCTTGGTAGGGGCTTTCAATTCTGGGAGAGCTGCTTCGTTTTGTTAATTATGAATCAGACAGGTGTCCAGTGGCTCCTTTCTTTTAAGGACCTGTTTTGCTATCAGTCAAGTCATCTGTATTTATGGGCCCCATCAGACAGGCCTCTGGACTTCTGCCTCCTGTTGCACTAGCTGAAGTGGAAGGTCAGTAGGAGGGCCTTTGCTCCTTGTGTTTCGTGCATGTAAATTTACCATAAATGAATTCTGGGGTTAAGAGCAAGTGGTAGATTTCATGAGCACCTTTATAATTATTTTACGTCTTTGTTTCCTCTCAAAGTTTCATCATTCTTAGTAACTTACGTTCTCTGCCAGAGTGACTATTTGATGGAATGAGTTTTGAGGACTCTACACCCTGAGAGGTAGAAGTGCCCGCAAGAGATGAGTTTGGTTTTTTTTTTTTTTTGGTAAAGTATTCTCTAGGTATTTCTTTGGTTTCTTCTCTGATATATGAAAAAGGTATGTTACAGATACTATAAACATGCTGTTTCCAAGGTTACAGAAACTAATGGCCCTGGGGGGCTCTGTGCACCACTCGTTCTTTTGGGTTGATTTATAGAACTTACTGAGCTTTGGCATTCCCCGTAGCAAGTCCCAAGGAAAACCCGGAATATTCAGTAATGAGAGCTGTGATCAACCATGGGACTGAAATCTTGCCTTGTTTTGTTTACACCTCAGCCAAGCCCAGAGGTGTAGTCCTCACAGGACATCACTTAACGTGTTGATACTAAAGATGGAGGGATAGAGTGAAGGGAAGTTTTTTCTTGTGGAATTCTTACGTGTACATTTTTTTAATTGTGAGAGAAATAGTTTTGCTTTTCTTTCCCCTACCCTGACTTGCATTCCTTTGTAAGTACCTCAGAGGTGTTGCCGTCGTCCACTGGTTTATAATAAGTGACACTGAATTTCTTACGCACACACCAGGCACGTGTCTTCCATTCAGATGTCACAATTATTGACCTGGTTCAAACCAAAAAGTTAAGTTTTTTGGCAACTAAATCTGGTTGCTTACTAGTATAACCAAGATCTCAGGTGGTGAGCTGGGGGTGGGTGTGTGTGTCCATTACTCCCAGAAATTTGTTCAGGGTCGTCAGTGTCAACATAAGACATGATGGAATTTGCCAGTGATTCGATTAATTTTCTTCACCAGTCAAGGCCTATTCCTCCTGCTACCTTTTATTAAATAGTGAAGCATGATTTATGCTAAAAGCTTTTGTGAACCAAGTACTTTTAATTCATCTTTGGAACTGTCATAATTCCTGACCAGAGAACCCAGGCCACAGCTGAACTAACCCTCTCCCAGTTGCCCTGTCTGCCTGTGACACGGCTCCTCCAAGGTCACATTCTGCATTTCCTATGGGAATGCATTTTGAACTAACTATAGTGTGATAGCCAGAACTGAAGGAATGAAACTTGTTTTTATATAAACCCAGTTTGATAACAATGCATATAAAGTTCAACAATATGATTGACATGTGAACAGCTTGCAAGATGGTGCTGTAATTCTCCAGTTGATTTTGCAACATTTTAAAGATATAATAACCAAGTATAATTTTGCTGTACAAGGATGAACGGGCCCCACAGGATGCTAGAAATAACTTACTTTTCCCTCTTCCACCGATAGAGGCAGAAGAGCAATATACGGAGAAAAAAGCACCTAGGCATAAATTTTGTTCACTAGACCTAAAACATTTCTGTTTAGTGTCAGAA